TTGTTTTATTTTTTATTTTTCGTCATGTGAACCCCAACAGGATTTGTTTTTGTATGTAAAATACAATCAAGTAAGTAAGTAAGTCATCTTATATAGCACCTCTCACAGACCAGAATCACAAAGCACTTTACAATTGTTGTGGTTAACAGTTCCCGAAAAAGATTCTGAATATCTTAAAAACAATAAATATTTCTGACACGAATACAACTTCAAGTAAAACAAGTACAATCAGATTTTGTCGACTCTATTTGGACATTATTCTCCCCGAACATGGTTAGTCACCACTCACTTGTGAAAGCACAAGGCGTGTGGACCCATTTAGCACATAATAATTAAATGCAGCGAGTGCTTCCGGTCGCTGTTGTTCCTAATTTCATAATACTGAGACCTACATTCATTCATACGTAAAAAAGACCAAAAATCTATAATTCTGGTAGAAGACCTGAAGGCCATTTATGTCTGTGTCCTGGATTATGAATCTAAATTACAAAAAAAATGTTATGATATACTTGCCCTTGAAACAATATATATTTTTTTTTTTAGCTGTATCACGATCATGATTCCTGTTGAGAGGATTCACTGTCCTTTGGCGCCCTCTAGCGGTAGAATGATCACACAATTGTTGCTACTTTTCCCATTATGCCCAAGGTTTATATATAAAACACTCACTGCCAAGTTTCCTCGATAACAAAAGCGCAAACAAATGGCTTGACTCTTTGTGAAGCTGGGCAATTGTAGTTTTGGACTCTGATTAGCTACTCTAATTATAAGTGGCAACAATCTGCACAGAGAAAGCATGGATGCATCAAAACTCAAACTCCATGTGTGCATCTATTCTCTTTGGTAAATGTGCAGGAGCTGGAGTCTGGGGCCGGTGTCTATATACAGTGGGACCAATAAGGACAAATCCCATTCCACACATGACGCTTATTCGCATTTCCCCCCGATTTCTATTTGACCTATTTTGTTCTTTCACACTTCCGGGAGTTTGTTAGTTATATGGTATAAATTGGCTTATTCACATTTTTGAAAGGTTTTAAGTGCGGCATCGTGATCTGGAGGTATTGTAGCCTGTGCTTGCAGGTGACTTTTGCATGTTTTTTCTCCATCCACACACATACAATCTTCCAGAAAATGTGAGCCAGGCGTCTACTCGGGCAGTTCTCAAATCTAGGTTAAAAACAGTTCTGTTTAGCTGTGCATGCAATTGCAGGATTTGTGGCTATTTAGGATTTAAATTTTCGTGTGTGATTTCTTTATGTTTTACGTTATTAAACTACCTGTGGGATTGTATTCTGTTTTCAATATTTCATGTGATCTTAATGTTTGTTTTTAATTGTATCTTTTATATTTATGTAGATTTTAATGTTTATGATTTATGCTTATACAATATGGGTTGTGAGGCAAATAGAAGTTTGATGGATAAAACAAACAAATACGTAATTATATTTATTTGTTTTGTTTTTGTTGTATTTGCATTTTCACACTTAGTCACTGTACGCACACATGGCAGCAGATGGCACTAACACTGTACTGTATCCACTCTATGGAGGAGGATGTCCATTTTGCAGATGTCTTCATCGTTTCACATGTTCAATGTTTCTGAGTCTAATGCGTCATAGTAATGTAGCATTCCTCTCCATTTAAAAAGTTATCTCCCAGTCTCGGAGTTTTTCCTGCAGACATATTAGGGTCCAAAGACAATGTTGAATCTATGTATATTTATGGACATTGGTCATCCCCGTATGGACCAATGACTCCTTTGAGTTTGTATTATTGCAATAACAGTGTTTGAACTGTTTGATTCGACAAACAGTTGTGTTGGTGAATCGACAACTTTATAGGTCTCCGAGACGGCTACTTTTGTGATTTAGAGCAATACAGAAATATATGGAATTCGATATAAAATTGTGACTTGTTAGAATAATAAATGCTCAGGTTTAGGCCTCACAGGTTTCAGAGCTGGTTTAGGGAGAGACTCGTGATGTTCTCAAGATGTGTCTTTAGAAAGAAGACATACAGCAGCAGTTTGAGGTTCACTGCACAAATCTTAAAGATCTTTATTTTGACACCTGAGGCTAAAACAGAACAAATACACATTTAATCCAGGTTTGAAAATATGTTTTTATTGTAAGTATTGCATCTTCAACTTACACAGCTAATCACCATCATCACCAGAGTGCATGTTTACAGAGAATGGCCACAGGTTTGGACAGCAGGAGGACTCCCTTTGGGTTTGGTTCAGAAACTTGACTCCAGAATAATCCACACACTCCTGAACAACACGAACCTTTAGCCACAACCAGAGCACTCGTCTAATCCTAGACACAGAGGTAAATATCACTTTGTGACCAGCTTATGGAGATATGCCACGTTTTTGGAGTTTGCACCAAAGCCAAAACCCATCATCAGACCGCATGACTAACGTGATGGACCGGACTGCACTGCAGTGGGAGATTCAGTCAACAAATAAAACCTTCATAGAGCAGTGCACACTCCTCAGTGGTTAGATAATGGCTGACTAACTGTGCAGCCAACAGCTCTTCTGACTTTGGTGTCCTTTGGTGCATGGAGCCAGCGCACCAGAGAATAACTGTGAGCTTTACCCGTTTAGAAAATAAAAATAACACTATTTCCCTGACAGATAAGTGTCTGAAAGTATCTGTACAATTTTTGGAAATGCAACAGTTCAGCATCACAGCGGTCTGACTCAAGCCTGGGCAACGTGAGAGGTGGACTTTAACATAGTGGGACCCTTGTCTTGTCAACAGTGCAGGTTTCCCAAAATAAAAAGAAATGAAGAAAGAATAGATGAAAGGTAATAACTTAAAGGGGCAGAGTTCATGTAAACTGTCCCCGGAAAAGTGTAAAGAGGACACTGAGGTGTTTGAGGTTGTTTTGGCATTTTAATATTAGAGCACCAAGATGGTGACATTAGGACTCTGCCATGTCTTAATAACCTCAACACAGCTCGGCAGGAGCTTTTGAATTAGAACACCTAAAATATGAATATGTCTTTGATAGCTAATTTGTTCTTTAAGGTTCAAATCCTCAATCCGAGGCATTTAAAGGTAAGACACAGTTTGTCAACTGAAACACAAGTCTAATAGACTGCGGCCCTCCAAAGAGAGGACAGTGGAGCTTAGACCCCTGTTATTGTGTAGTAGCTGGCTCAATATCTGCCTAAGTCAGAGGTACCCCATTCTCCAGGAGACCCTGTTTGCCCCTGAGACAAATTAAACTTCACATCTCCTTGTACCTTCTTTTGTAGAAACTGTTAGGAGTTTTTACCTTTGCATGTGTCATGGGGCACGTCTGCAGGGTTAGCCCTGGAAACAGGTTGGTGACTCTAACTAGGCAAGGCTCAGCACTAGGAGCAGCTTAGGGGCCAATTACATTTCAAGTGTCCATTGAATAAAACATCAGAATAATGAAAACAAATGGCTACATTTTTGCCCTTCCCACAAAAACAATAAAATATACATTTCTTAAAATAAGGAATGGGTCATACACATCTGAAGGTGTAAATAAGACAGAACCAAAATAAGTTAACTCATTTTCTCATATGTTTTCTGAGGGTTGAAAAATAAATATTGAAAGGGTGATTCTTCCACACAGGCAGTGAGGGACAAAGTGCGACTCTAATGCCAGTGGAGAGTGGTCGGCACAGCCGCGTCACTCCTTTGTTCTGCACCTCACCTGCACCGACACCATTGGAATGTCTCATACAGCCTTCACCACATTCATTCAAGTCCCATAAATACGAGCCACACAATCTCTTCCAGCTCAAGTCCTTCTTGTCAAGTCACGTTCAGAGTGAATTTCTTCTTGGGGTAGCAACACAATGAATAACTTGTGGATGTTTTGATCAAGACCAAAATGATAGTGTCCATGCCACTTGGAGATAAAACTTTTTAAAATGTAATTTAAAATGCACAATAAACACAGGGCAAACAGCAACAGAGGCAACAGCTCTGTCCACGAGCTCTACCACTTTTAAACCCATCTTGTTAATATTTTTGATGCAATTTGTATGTACAAAAACAAAAACATTTTCTTTATGGACGGTCACAAGTCTTTAAGGGAAAATGCACACGAGGGGTGGAAACTGACAAAAAGACAAGAGTTATTGCTTGTTACTGCTGGAAAGAGGATGGACATTTATCCCAAAGTCGTTTGATTGTTGCTGTTGTCTTTTGTGTTTTGTCTTTAGACTTTTTAACTGTAATGCTTTGTGCTGTTTCTATTGACAGCTCTAAAGCAGGCAAGTGCAGGGTCGCTTGTTGTAGCTGCTTGTTGAGGGAAAGGGTACAAAACAAAAACACACAACACACACACACACACACACACACACACAGACACACACGCACACGCACACACAGTACAGTTTCCAGCCATTGAAAAACGCACTGAGCATTCAACAGGAGTGGTCCCTCCTTCCTCTGCTTTTGTGGTGGTTTTCCTCTGTGCCAGACTGGAACAATCACTGCGTACACGCTGTTGGCTTTGAAAGCTTGATGGTGGATCTCATGAGTTTCTCCATTTGTCTGTTTGACAATAGCACCAATAAGTGTCCAAGCTTCTGCAGTGTGGAGCAGAGGAGGAGTTCTCGGGGAATGTGTTGATATGGCATGTTGTGGCGTGTGCGACAGTGACCCGTCATGCACACTATACATCAGCAACACGCGTTATTCTCCTATGACAGGAATTTAAGTGCATTTTGGATCCAATCGGGGGGTCAACATAAAATAAAGGAAACATCATTCATCGCAGTAGTGTGGTTTTAAAAATCAACATTTCATATCAATCATGTGTCTGCTCTCCCTTTAAAGAAGATTAAAATCAATTGGCAGCCTCACATGGACATCAGGACTAAAAACTAGGAGTGGGAGGGAGGGGGAAGCGCCATTAGCTTAGCCTTCTCTTCAAGTGAGAAGTTGACACAGTACGGCAGGAGAAAAAAGTATGGGTGTGTGTTGGCAGGCGGGCTCTCGGAGGCTCTAGGAGGAAAAGGCAAGTTTGACACTGCAGGAGGAGTAACCCTCGTCACTGGCCATGCTCTGCAGGCTGCTGTGGTCGTCCAGGTCGCTGGTGCTGGCCGTGCTCACACTGTCCAGCTCTCCATGGGAGAACTCAGTGCTTTCTACATCCACCTCAATCTCCTCTGTGGACACAAGCAAGAGAAGGGTCAGAGCTATTCACATTGAACAACTTGAACAGCTTGTAATGACAGAAATGACTCTTATCACAACTTATGACACATCATAATAAATGACTAAACCATCAGCTCGCATAAACATCAATACATGAATAACTTTTGAATTAACAAAGCAATACAAACCTTCCCATTCCCATCAGAAGTAACCATGTACAGACAAAGTAACTTAACTTAGGGTAAGTATCAAAAATCAGATATTAATCAATACTAAAACTAGTATCCAAACCAGATACTATTTTTGGAAAGTACTAATAGAAATGACATAGGTCAAAATATAACATTCTCTGAGCAGTTTTTGAATGATTTTGATTTCAGTACAATACAAGATGATTGTACTTTTTGATGGTGCCACAACAATACGTTTGTATTAAAAAATACAACACAACAATACTATTGTTGTGGCAAAATTCAAATTCAAATTCCAGCTCATTATCCTGAAAAGAGATTTATTTTTAGATCATCTCGTGGCATCGATCACTAGTATAGACAATGCTGTATAAGTGTAAACAAAGGCACATGAGGAATCTGAGCTCTTCCCTCTGTCCAGAACATCAGGGGCTTCCAGTGACCTCACCTTGGTCAGAGTCGGAGCGGTCAGAACAGAGGGTGGAGCCCACGCTGTCCATGCGTATCCGCTCGCTCTCCGCTGGGCTGGAAGCTCCGACTCCACCCCTCAGAAGCTCGAGCTGGCGCTGGAGGTGTCGCTGCTCGCGCTCCAGAGACTCCAGCTGATACTGGCTCTTCCTGTCCGCATCTTCAAGTCTCTGTTTGGAGCAAATCATTGTTTATAGTTATTATACAGATCACTATGGCGACTTTAAAGCTTTGGATCGCGTTTTTACCAGCGGCGTCTATCACATCTGATGGTACTGAAGGCTGTGACCGTGCAGCACTTCTGAGCAGCACTTTTAACCTTCTAGCCTTATGTCAATGCTGCTGACAGTGACAAGCCTGACTCCAACAGCTTTAAAACAATGGCTGTCAATTGAAAGTCAAGCTGAGAGCAGTAGCTTTGACTTAGAATAAGCTCTGGTGAATTATGGCCGTTGTGAAAAATAGTAATTGTGATGAAGCACAAAACAACACCATTTTTTTTCCATTTGTCCATGTGTAAAGTGTCTTTGAGTGTCCAAAAAGCGCTGTATAAGTACAATGTATTATTATCATTATCCTATTTGCTAATAGAACCAATAACCAGATTCCTCTTTAACACATGTTTGTTCCATATGTAAATTGTGTTTTAGCTCCATCTCTCATCAGTGTCTGCAGAATAATATCAATGTGTCAAAGATGACCAATGTTATTGTGTGAACTAGGAGGATAAAGGGGACTAGTTTTTGCAGCAGACTGTGCCCATAATGTCGGCTGTATTCACCTTAATATGTGCTTTGGCTTTGTTGAGCAGGCCCAGAGTGGTGTGGCGGTTGCAGTCCGGTCCCAGAGGAATCAAGGCCTTCAAACGCTCCAGACACAGTCTCAGGTGAGCTCGCCTGAAAACAAAACGTCAGAACAATGTTAGACCAGTGCTTTCCAACTTAAACTCTATGTTGTTTATTTAAAACAATAATAATAATGCATTGGTTTCATACAGCGCTTTTGGACACTCAGAGACACTTCACATGTCGTTATTCATTCACTCCGTACACGTTGGTGAAAAACAAATGTAGCCACAGCTGCCCTGGGGCACACTGACAAGGCAACCAGTATGTGCCATCGGCCGCTCGATCACACAAACACACACACGACTAATTCTAGGCAACACAGGTGAAAGTGTCTTGCCTAAAGACACAGCAACAGTTTGGTGTTGCCAGGGGTCTCCCACCACAGCATTAATAAGGCCTTGCCCTCTTTAACTTCCGAGAGCTCGCAGGATCAGGTTTTCACATACAGGTGGCGCCTTAACTTTGGTTTTATTTTCAGTTATAATTATTATTAGCTTTAAAGACCTACAGCATGCCACAGTAATGTGCTGACATTACAATCAATATTTGCAAGTTAATAATCATTAAATCGTTAAAATCATTTCAAGCACCCTGTGAAATACCCTTGCGAACCTCTGGTTGGGAATCACAGTGTTAGACCCGCAAGGTGGGGCTTTACCAAAAACAGTTCCGCGTTCATTCAGCATTTGATTTACATTCCTTTCATTTTGAGAATATGTCTTAAACCAGTTTGTATGATCACACCCTCACCAGGAAAAGTAAGTAGTAAGTATCCATCCATCCATCCATTTTCTTCCCCTTAATCCATTTCTGGGTCGGGGGGGTGGCAGTCAGAGCTGCACCCAGTCACAGAGCACCAGCCCCTCACTGATCCTCCTGCAGGTGGTGAGTCCACAGGAGCGAGTAGTAAGTAAGTAATCTTTATTTATATACCGCCTTTTCACTGCACGTCGGAGTAATCTTTATTAAGTAGTAAGTAAGTAATCTTTATTTATATACCGCCTTTTCACTGCACGTCGGAGTCTCAAAGCGGTTTTACAATTCAATATGAGCAACCAGACAAAAGAGAATTAAAAAGAGTGAACAGTTTACATTTCTAAAACCACAGGAACCAGCAAAGACACATGTTTTAATCCACAAATACACTGCTGTGACTGCTGAAGTAGTACTTTTGCCATAAATCAACTTTGAATTGAAATTAAGATCCAGTCACGTCAACACAAGGAGTTAAAGTAATTGTAATTATATCATATTTGATCATAATTGTATTATCATCGTATTGACTTGATTTCAATAATTTATCTGATCTTGTTTTAAACTAGTGAAGTCATATTGCACATCTACTGTAGCACTTGGATTCTCACCCAACACTACCTGAAGCACACCTTATCCCACACACATAGAGCCCACACTGACTTCATGAACCAAGTTTAAGTCTGGGAGGTGGTGGGGGGGCAAAGGGGGGGCCGGGTGTAATGGCATTTCCTGGACCTTGGCTGGGCGCATGCTCTCCATCATCCTGACAGTTCCTTATTCAGTGACAACGGATGAGCCAGGGGTACAATCTATCCCGCTAATAGCCACAGTTGAGAGGTAAAGGGAGATAATTGAGGCTATAACATAATCAGTGTGCCATTAGCAAAGCTGCCCTTTCAGTTCAGTCTGCAAGAAACATGGGAGAGGTGTGCAGAGGTGCTGGGCTTGGTGCAGCCAGCCACCATGAGGGGGGGAAACAATGAGGAGAGATGTGAATTTAGGCAAAAACTATCCTTGCCTAAATCCTTGCCTTGCCCAACACCATCATCATCATCATCATCTTATCACCCGGAAGTCTGAAATCTGTTCTCATTCTTATGTTATCTTTTACTGACAGAGGATTAGGCTCCAAAGAGGGTTCAATTACAAGTCTGGATTTTAGGACATGTCCCTTTCAGGTTTAGGTCAATCTCCTGCACAGTTTGGAGCTGGAGAATGTGTGTGTGTGTGTGTGTGTGTGTGTGTGTGTGTGTGTGTGTGTGTGTGTGTGCGTGTGCGTGCGTGTGTGTGTGTGTGTTGGCCTATGATCACGATATCATAGTCTATATTGTAAAGCAATAATAACAAAAACGTCCCATTCACTAATCATGTAAGGCAAAGTTATTCTGCCAGGATATTGATGAACCAACACCTCAAAACCAATGTGTGACCATCCAACATCCTGAATTACTATTTCAACTTTTAAAAAATGGATGAAAAATGTGGAGGGATCAATAATAAAGAATTTGTATTATTGGAATGGACAAATCAGAGGGAAAAAAAGAAAGTACGATCAATATTATCGTAAATCACTATCATTTCCTGCATTGCTCATGACAGGCCTACAGACATATAACTTGGGGCAGGGTATTGGCATTGTGCATGTGTATCTCTAGGCCACCATGTCAGTTTAACCCCAACATGGCGACCATCTACCAGCCATTAATCACTGCATGTGACTGAGTCAGTGGGGGGCCTCCGTCACGAAAGATGTCGACTCGCTCAGTAAAGGACACCAGACGATCCAAAATATACTGTAATTACATTCGGTTTCAATCGCTAACTGCTGTCTATATGGCAGGTTAGACACTCCTTTCTTTAAAAAACATGGTGAAGATGTCTATGTCCAATCCAATCCACTTTATATATATAGCACATTTAATAAAAACACATTCGTGCAGAGATAAAAGTAACACCTTCAAATATACAAGTCTGCCAGCTTTAAATAAAAAGCAATTTAATTAAAATATAAAACAATATATTTATTCCTGCTTAGTTGTTTTCTACTTGGTGTTGATGTTACTTCCTGGTTGGGCATACGCGAGCAGCACTTTTACAGGTGGCTGATATTTCTATTTTTAGAAAATGAAATTGAAAGAGTTCCACTTGAAAACTCATGCAACTTTTGACGTTATTTAAAAGAGCTGGTAAACATAGTTCGACTTTTTTTTGACCAAAATTGTGAAACTTATCTTAATAACACACATTAGTAATTGTAACACAGTATAAGTTGAAGCATCATGAACTTGTGTTTCTCAAACTGACGCGTTCTTCTGGTGGTACATTTACCCTGCCGTTTGATCGTTGGCTGAATTTATTGTAAGATCTTCTTTGGGCAAATTATTATTTAGAACTACTTCATAAAGTTGAATGGTTTTAGTCCAATATCAGACTAAAAAACCAGTAGTGAAATCAGTGGAGAAAAGTCTTGGGAGTTCCTCTTAATTCTTCATGGACCTGTCCTTTTGAACAGGCGTCAATAACTCTGGGCCTCTTCTTTTTACAATCTCTTGCCAGACAGCCGCAGATAAGGCTCCCCAGCACTCAGTCTGCAGTACATTATACTGAGGTGAGAGACATGGTGTGGGACTGCACTGGCACCAAACTTTGTCAAAACATTTCAGGCTGCGGCTCCGGCCCAAATACCTCATTACCGGTTTTTATTAGGGAGCATGGAGTCATCGCTTCATTTTAAATCCTGCTCTGAAGACGGAGTACTCCTTTATTTTCTTATTTTTCCAGAGTATCTGATGATTCACGAACTACAGGTTCTGGCTGTTCCTGCTGTTCCTGTCTTTTATTGAGATGATTTCAGCAAATCTCTGCAGTTACATGACAAGCTCAAACAAACTGTTTGCCATAGTGATAACAAGGACCTGGTGTTCCTGCAGCAGGTTGGCGATATCTGAAGTATCTTCACAAAAGTTACTGTATTTGTGTCAAAGGTGACCAGTAATCCGTCTGTATCATATGGACCCTCAGCCAAAGATCTTAAGCCTATGAGGGGCGACCTCCTGACTCCGCCAGGTTTTAAGCACAGACTATTATCTGTGTAGAGCAGGAAGCAAGTAAACATAAAGTGTGCAGAATGTACTCTTAACAGCTTCAGCTGCTAAAGCTTAGGCTGCTCTTGTGCAGCAGAAGTGATGTCTCAGGACTAACATTTAACACATTGACTTTGAGCAGGAGAAATGAACAATATAATAGTATGTGTTATAGACAACTTCAGAGAGAAAGGCACTTGTTTCATGTCGGATGATAATGAATGGTCAAGTTGAATGAGTATCTCTCCATCTGTGATGGATTATGTAACACGTGGCCAGTTGCTAACAGGACCAGTGCTCCAAATTGTCACGCTGTACAGCAGGGACTTCAAATCCTCTCAACAACAGATTTAGAGCTCATTCTACATTAGAGGAAAAGATTCTAAAAAAAAGTCTTTTTAATAATATTCAGAACTGGAGAGTTAGTCTTTTAGTAAATGTCAGCCTGCTCTGTGGGCCACAATGGAGGGTTGTTGGGGTGCAGTCTGTCCTGTTTCTGTGGGTGTGTGGTGTCTGCATGTGTTTTCTCTGCTCTCTGTGCTGGTGCAGATGGGCCGCAGGCAGGAGATCGCCTCTTGGCTCTGACATGTGAGTGAGCAGCCAGTGTACCCGAGGTCACCACACTACACCTTTACCCCTGTCCACCCCTTTCCCTGTGGGCTCACACGACACAGACCACTGCCTTTTTATCAGCCACCACGACACTGCTGTTCATTCACCAGTATGAAGAAGAACAATATCCAGAATTTTCTCCAGATACTTGTAATGTTCGATATCTTACTATTTGGCATTCTCTCAAACAAAGTCAAAATATTTTCATATTTGTGCTTGCCTGTCTTGCCTCCTCTGAATCAGACTGCCTCCACTGTAATTCAAGTGGAGTCCTTTTTAAGCAGCACTTTGAAGCCTTTGCCGTCAGTGTGGGAGAGCTGCCCACCTCAGCTTTCCCCGATCCTACGCTCCTCATACGAACACCACTTCCCACTCACCCCATTCTTTTTTTCTCCATTCACACATGTGCCCACAAACAGACAAGTTTAGTTACTAACTTCATATAGAACCTTTCACAGACCAGAGTCACAAAGCACTTTATAATTGTTGTGGGCATTTGTCCTCTCACTCCACACATGGGAGTGGGGTCGCATGCCAGACCTATTATACATGCTTTAGAGATAGGAGGAATCGGAGCACCCAGAGGAAACCTACACA